TGAGTCTGGTGAGCAAGTCTCAGTTCAAAAAGCTGTGGATGCTGCCTTGCAAATCTCAGTCCCTAAGCAACCAAGGCAGAAGAAGCAAAGAACTAATGAAGGAGAATCTCATCAAATCCTTGCTCAAGGTATTCCCTTTTAGTCTACTGATATCTTAGTTGGGGAACTAGATAAAAATGTTGATATGGGTAAGTTTAAAATTGACTTTGCAGCTAGAAAATTTTGCCTAGTGGTAGCTGTTGATTTGAAAAGCTTAAAAACGAATGAGAAAATCATATTGGATTTGTAGGACCCATTGGAATATTATGAAAACTGGTTGAGCATTAGAGAAGACTATTACCCTGAAGTAGTCAAGAGGTTCTACTGCAACATAAGGGCAATAGAGAAGTATGATAAAAAGAGGGATTTAGTGCAGATCAATTTAACAACTAAACTCAGAGGCAAAACTATCATACTAACCTCTGTAAAAATCAATGAGTTACTGGGAACTCAAGATCATGCCAAAGGACCTAACATGAATGCTATAAAAGCGTATAAGGTCCTAATGCAGAGTGATGATTGCCCTGGAGAGTTGAATTTCCCTCCAAAGCAAATGTGTGATTATTATCGAATAATCCACTACATACACTCCAAGAGTATAGTGAACAAGTCCGGGAGCTTCTCTCATCTAAACCAAGATGATTATCCACTTCTGGCCAAAATCGTTAGTAGGGAAAAGATCAACATAGGGGCACTTATCTTCAGTGAAATGAAGAATTTCACCTCCTTCAAATCCAAATCCACCCCCATTCACTATCCTTAACTGGCCTCGTGCTTCCTCCAAGTGCATAACTTTGCACACTTAGAGCCTAGAAAAGTCAATGAAAAAGTTCCTGTCTTTGGAATCAATCAATTCAACAAAATGAGGATTCCAATGTCTTTTCAATCTCCACGAAAACTAGCAAGAAAAGAGAAAGGAAAACAGCCTGTAGCCAGTACTTCAAGAGGTCAAGATGAAGCTCAATCCTCTGTAGAGCCCTCTTAAACCTCTAGTCCTTCATTCTATGGCAACACCATCATAGACATGTTCCAATCTAAATTACAAGAATTTGAGAAAAGGTTGTATGCCACTGCCAAAGACTATAGAGCAATTTCAGATAAAAAGTTTGAAGGGCTATATGTTGTTCTAGATCTTCACAGACAAGCCATGGTAGTGTTAGAGAGGAAGGTCTCTTAAAAAATTGACTTGGTAGAAAAGGAACTTACAGAGATTAAAGGATTGGTCACTTTACTCTGTGCTACCTTCCCTGGCCCTAGCACCTCATTCTCTTATGAGGACCGATTCTCACATCCACCCTCATCTCTACACATTGACCCTACACCTACACCGTTTTCTCGTGTTCTTGCTTCCATCTCTTCTGTCCCACCTTTAGTTTCCCAAACCATTCCTCCTTCTACTACACTTGCCCTTATTCCAATCCCTCAAGTTACTCACTTTCCTCCACAGCCTCCTATCTCTCAAGCGCTCTCTCCTATTTCCCAACTTCCTCCTCTCCCTCTCCCTTTTACCTTATCTTCATTTTCTTCTCCTCCACTTCCTCTATTGATGCAGACGAAAAAAGGGAGAAGAATGGTTCTGACACCTAGGTTAGATTTATGTTTGTCCCTGTTTTCAATCTTTTTGTATTCTGATGATTATGTATTCTAACATTCTGATGATTTTCTCATTTTATTGCACTCTGCTACATACTTTTTGATGTTTATCAGAGTTATCAGTTTTTGATTTATTAGTTTATGAACAAATTCTCTACTGTCAGTTTATAATTGCTGAATTCTCATCTTTTGAATTATGTTGAATTATCTAAATATCAGTTATATTTTTCTTATGTTTTGTCATCATCAAAAAAGGGGAGAATGTTAGATTTAAAAGTTTTGATGGTAACAAAATAGGCCTTTTTTGTTTCTCTGCATAATTATTAGGTTAACCAATCAAGTGTTCAATCACTGGTTAATCAAACATTTGTTAGATAAATGTTAGTTCATTTGAATCAATTACTGTTAAGCTTGATAGATAATGCGTTAGATAATTTAAATTTATGTGTTGATCGATCATATGATCGATCATTGATAACATTGGTTGAGTGTAAGATGTTGTAGCAAATTATCGATCATTTAATCAATAATTTATTGATCAATAAATTGTCAGGAAAAGTTATAATCTTCCACGAGTATAACATAACATTTATCAATCACCTGATCGATCAAGAGGTAATCGATAAAGACTCAGATAATTTGGTAAGCCTCCTTGACTTAGGTACTGTGCTAAATAGTTTATGAATTATCCATCACCTTATCGATCATCAATTTATTGATAATTTGTTCAAACATTGTGTGTTAAAACATTCTTGGTTAATCGATAATATGTTCCATCAAAGTATTTTGTGTTATTTTACAAAATAAGTTTTTTTCACAATCTATGATCGATCAATTCATCAATCACCCTTTCATAAATAACATGACCGATCAGCATGGTCTCTACGTCATTTGTTTCATATCATATGATCGATCAAAGCCTTACTCTGGCATTTTCTAAAAACATCTTTTCACAGTCATTTATTGATCATTTAATCGATTAATTATTAATCGATCATCAACCCATCATTATGCATCACTGTCAAAGTATTTTTTGAACCACTTTTCGATCACTTGTTTGATCAACCATTTTTCGAAAAAGTGTTCGATCTTCATAGTCTGAAAATAGTATTCGCTTCTGCTTAGCTTAATCGATAATATGATCGATCAAATGCTTTTCGATCATCTGTTCGATCAATGCATCATTTCATCTCTCAAATAGCTCTTTACGATAATCTATCATAGAACATATTTTCATTTTATCTTTAAACTTCTCTTAGCCTTCTTTAATCATACAATTATCCTTTTATAAAGATACGAAGGCATACAAATTTGAGGAAATAGACTTTGAATTGAACTCAGAAATATTTCCATTTATAAAACCACTTTAGTTATATTTCATTATTTATCGATCACTTGTTCTATCATTGTTTGATCTATAAAGTACTCGATAAATGCATATATGTGTTAAGTCTATTTTTGTTGTATTTAGTCGATAATATGATCAATCAAAGTATTATCGATCAAGACATCGATCAAGTAAGTTCGTATTACTTTTTAGTATCTGATGATTAATTCTATGTTTTCCCAACTATTATATCAATGTCAAGAATCATCACTTCTTCTGTTACTCATTTCTATTTTATTGAGGAAGGAAACTCACTCTTGCCAAGAGACTTTTGCAGATTACGAAGTGCAATGGTTATTTTATAGCCCTTAACCTACTGTGTCAAAAGCATTAATGGCGAACTACCGTTGTAACTGTCGTACACACACAAGCGATCTTCCAATGGCTAAAAGCTCTTCAGTCTAACGGATAACTAAAATAGTCCAACTATAAAAGGCGCGAAGAGTATTGAATGAAGTATTGAATACACGAACTACTGTCTATTAAAAATCTACTATTGCATTTAATACTCTGTTTTACTGAACTTCAGTGTTTATCATTTATCTACTTTGTGAGAGAGTTTGATATATGTTTCTTTACTCAATTCTGAGAGTAACTCGAGAGTTGGACTCTTAAGGGGATTGTAACATTACAGTTAGTAAAGGGGAGTGATTGAGAGATTCAATTTCTGTATTGAGGCACCAAGAGCCCGTTTAATCTTGGGGATATAGTGGAAATCTCAGAAGCGCTCTGAGGACTAGACGTAGGTCAAGTGGTTGAGACCGAACCAGTATAAACTCTGTGTCTTCATTCTTGTATGAAACCTTCCAAACTCATCTCCTCTGTTTTACCTGTTCAATTATTTTTAGTTAAATTTTTATACATCACCCAATTCACCCCCTTCTTAAGTGAAGCTGTCACTAATAACTTACAGATCGCCCACCAACAAGGCCTTCACATCGATAGTGGGATTCAAACTCACGACCTTGTGGGTTGTGAAACAACCACATCAATACCAAAAACATGCATCCATTCCAAGCATCTTGGAAACAAACTCTGAACTACGACCCAAGAAGACCAGCCCAAGGTTTTTCGCTCTTTTGTAAAGGGGCAAAAAATTACTCACAAGTCAACCAATAGTTTTATCCCACAAAGATTAGTTACATGAATAGTATAATCTCAACATGCTTTTTTCAAGACCAACTTATTTAACAAACCACTATCAAAAATCCCGATTGATGACTTAATGTTGTTAGTTTTCCTTTACTTCTCTTCCCAAAACTATCTACTACTTCTCCTCTAATCCTATAATAGGACAAAAAGAGAAGACATTTTTTTGTCCTATTTATAAAGTATTGAGAGAAATTTTTTATGTAGATGTACAATTTTACTCTTCATTTATTATAGCGTTGACTTTGTTTACATAAAGAATAATATATATTAAATAGGAATAAAATTAAATCGTTGTTGAATTTTAAATAGGAGTTAATGAAGTTTAAGATTTTTCTTAGCTTGTGTTAAACATATTAACAGTGACTTATAAATTGAATCAAAAAAGTATCTTACTAACAAGCACCTTCAATAGAGTTACTTGTACATTAACAAATCATACTAAATAATTTTATATCATTTTTTTCACAATAAAGCAACTCCATCTTGTCATCTTATACATGATTACACATTCCTCCCCCCCGGGTAACCAGACCCCTGAACTTTATGTTATTCACATTTTATGCTCATGTTTCAATTTTAAAGCCCAACATTCTCTCCAATTAAACATCATTAGTCTCATAGCTCATAAAATTTCATTTTAAGCTCAATAGAACCATTACAAATTACAAAGAACTTCTAATGCTTTCATCCATTTCATCCATCGTGTTTCTATACTTTCTATCATATATGTAACATCCTCAATTTTACCATCATTTTGTAGAATCGATCAATTGAAAATAGGCATTCAAAAAAAAATGATTAAAAAAAAATTAACTTGACCACAAATTAATTACTATTGCACAATTAACCCATGAAATATGAATTTTTTTCTTTAGCCTGGGCAAATTGTTTTTACATACAAATATACAGTGGTTGAGACATTCTTGATGGCTATGCAAATCCAAAACGTCAACCATCTTATATAGCCGCCAAAGCTAAGGTATGCATGTATACATGCGTAAATACATACATAGCTTTTAAGAATCAGAGTAATACTGCATGGCCATGTCAATAAAAAACTTTATATCTTCCCACAGCAACACATGCTCATAGTTTAATACACAGACCCAAACTAAACAATGTGTTCCAGCTGTGCATTTACCGGTGGTCCTGGTGCTATGGCAAATTGCAGGCCCCTCCGCTGCCCAGATTGCAAAACAACAGCGACTTGGGTTGCTGCCACTGCTGCTGCCTCCTGCTGAAACCCAACAAGATGCATTCACAAACACAGCATAAAAATGAGTATCCTGCATTAGACTTGACCATTGCAGAGTTTGTAAAAAAGATTCTCTTTACCCATACATTCATGTATTCAAGAAGAAATTGAGTGACACTATTAAGCAATTAAAATGAGTATCCGAGACTAGACTTGGTCTCAGTGACGTTTATATATTAGATTCTACAACATATTGAGAGGGAGGGAGAATACAGAAAATGAGATCGCACGAGGCCCACATCCCATCTTTACATTTATGATCTATCTGAATTAAAGAATTTGGGTCGGTTAAATCTGACCATAGCACCCGAAGATATCATATTAAATTCCTTATCTACATGGGGCACACTGCAGTTTCCAAGACAATTCACGGTAAATAAGAGGGTAGAAAAGAATAAATGAAAAATTCTTTGGTAAACTTGGTTAATAGAAGATAGTCAAATCCCCACAAATAACAGATATGCAATGGAAATTTGGTAAATTAATGAGCAGAAGTGATGAAAGTTTCAGTGTAAGACAAAATACGATATGGTATTGTAATAAATCAACAACAGAATTAACAGAATGGGTAGTTATGATATGAGAAATAGTTAAAAGCATTGTTGCCTAAAAATAGATATTAAATAGCCATTTGTAAAGCAGACTTTGATATGATATGGATTAGTATGTTGCTTAGTTCTTTCACGTCTCTTCTATTTCTCAAATCTCTCCGCTTCTCTATTTCTCTGATCCTCAGATCCTCTCTTCTCTTTTTCTCTCTTTCTCTTCATTTACCACAACAAAATACTCTAGTAAATTTGATTTATAGAAGATAGTTCAACTATAACATGCTTATTTACATCATGTTTAGATTGGTCGCCCAATCTTTCCTAGCTATCTAAGAACATGAAAGAAGAAACAAGTTGAGCTAAGAATGGAACTCACTTGTCTTTGCCTCCGACGTTGCAAGATGCTGATTGCCCAAGCCATAATATAACAAGGTAAAAGAAATCCAGCCGCACGAAGTAAGAAGATCTGCAGAAATTGGCAGGTTCGTGGAATTGGTTCAACAACACGGATCACAATCAATAATGAAACACCTATATGAACTACTGAATCCAAGTCACTTACAGAGAAGAAAGTTGATGGATCATCATCTGCATCAGCATCCGGGACAGAAACTGCATGTCGCAGGAGTAGAAGGGCCATTAACTGTACAAAATGGATTATATCAGGAATAAAACCCAGTCAAAGAAATAACATATCCACAGCTGATGTGCATGGTTCATAACTTCACAGTCGAGCATATTGCATGTGCATGCTAAATTAACATTCAGAGGCTTCAAGAGCATAGCAAGAACTATTAATGACACAAAATCCCAAAATAAATAATAATTATTAATTTCGCTGAAGGTCAATATAGTTTTTGTTTATATCCCATTGCAGGTAGATTGACCTCCACAGAATAAATTCCTGCTGTACAATATATGATTAATAATTAAGGCCTTACAATTAAAGCAGCTGAACGGCAAAAGGCAGCTCCACTAGCATTAGATGCAGCATACTCATCATATTCAGCTTCCAAGTAGTGGCGTTCAGCCTCTGCAATTGCCAAGAGTTGAGGATCATGAAAGTCCGGAGGCGCACCAGAGATTGTCCAGCCTCCACTGCAAGAATGTTCAGAACTCAGAAGACAAAATTTACAAACTAGTATCTTGAACACATTGAAGTCTGACAAAAGTGATAATTAACCAGAGAGCTATAATCAATTAAAACTTGTAGGATAAATCTGTGCCTTACCCTATATCAATGGCAGTTTCCTCAGCATTAGAGTGAGAAGTTGGGGCAATATAACCAGGTTGGTAAGGCTGAGATTCACAAGTTAAAATGAAGAGCCATCAAAGATCAGCAAATTCTGAATATGACAAGAGTGAGCTAGATTAAGTACAGAGACACTCACATATATGCATTTGTTCAACCAGAAAGGGCCCTACTCAACAAGATATCTCACAATTCAAAAGCTAAAGGGGACACAAGTAAACTCAGTAGAAAAACGTATAAGCTGTTACAAGCTAGGCATTTTAAAAAGTCCAGACACCTGCATATTCAACATGCTTGAAAATTTCCATTTAACTATTCCCCTATTTTTCTCCCGTTCAAAGCCACAGGACGGTGAACTGTTGTTCAATAAAGTTTTACAGATAAAAATTACAATAAGCAGCTCATTGTCACACAGGCCAAATATATAGATATATACATACACACACATATATATATAAAGCTCACTGTCACATCACTACAGGAACATAGAGCCTTTAAAATAAAAATTATTTGCATAAAACAAAAACCATACCTTATAGCATATCTCACAAATTGTACCTCCTTTCTCATTACACCAATGCTGGACGCACTTTCGATGAGCATACTGACATAATCAGATTTTACTCAATTAGCAAATACCAAGTGACAATAAACTATAAGCAAGGAAGTTAACCTAAACAGTTGATTAATTAAAGATCAAGAAATGAAGAACACAAAGATTCAAAATCAAAAATGAAAAATGAAAACCAACATCGCTTGCTAGTTACTACATATCTTCTTTGTGCAACAAATGACATTGTTCCACCATCATTTTGCCTTCTCAACTTCAATCTGAAGCTATATATTAACAAGCAATAATTTTCCTCCACAATACAGTGAAGCGATCTAGTAAATTCAGAAAAGAAAGAGTAATTAACAATCACAACATTATAGCCAGAAAGTTGTTTGAACAGCACACAGGTTGATTGAATATCGAAACTCGGACAAAATTTCAATATTAACAAAGTTCAGCAAGAATGGATACTGTAGAAAACAAGCAACAGGATATTTCAAAAACATAGGTTCATCAGGTTGCTATCTGGAAGCATCAAGAAGAAATTCACACAAACTTAGAGACCAAGCCCAAACAAAAGCACATAGTGAAGTTGTAATCAATGTGGCATCTTAGAAGATCAGTGGCACAAAAACTACGATAAAAATGTCAACAAATTTACAGTCAAACATTTAGTGATTTTAATGTGAGTGCGTGTGTGCGTGTGTGACCTCTAGCATATTCACTTTGCCGAAATGAATTGTAGAAAATTGGAAGTCAAAGAAAGGAGACACGCGATCACGCTGCCATGGGATGGACGGATTCCTGACTCTTAATGAGCATCATCTGAAATCAACTTTTTGTTTAGTAAGAGAAAGAAAGGCTACATTTTTCCAACTCGATTCTCCCAAAAGCAAAAGGTTTCAGCCTTTTCGCAATTTACAATATTTAGTTCGTGTACTTGCAACATTTAGGTAATCTTTTAACACCGATCTGTCATTTTTAACAAATTCGAAGCCCAGGTCAAACACTATTTCAATAGACCAGAAACAAACATACACAGAAAATAAATGTGTCTTCTAGTTGGTAGCACACAAGATTCTGAATCAAATAGATCTTTTAAAAAAACGAAACACGCAAACAACTGAAATTCATAATATTTATACCTTCAGACTGCCGCTGCAGGCGCAAGGTATTTCTAAATTGTTAATGCTGTCTTCCTCCTGACAAATGCGACACTCTGCATTAGGGATCAATGGCTTATCCTCATTACCATCCTCGTCATGCTCCGACCCAGCGGCATCGCTCTCCGCCGGCGGAGCAGAGCCAGAGAGCCCCGCAATGTCCGCGGACTTGCTCGCCGGAGACGGGTCAGACAGAAACTTAGCCGGCAGCGTCACTGAATCAACGTTCACAGGGCGTACCAGACGATCGACATATAGCACTAGATGATCGCTCATTGATCCGAAACCTACGAGCCCGAGGTAAAAATCAACAGAAAAGAAATTGAAAAGGGGGAATAAAAATGGAGAACGGAGCCCCCTGAAACACTAAGATCGGAGTGACCAAAGGGGCGTTAAATGAAGAGGCTTTTCCAGGAAAATGAGTGAAAATCTTACCGTAAGAAAGGGAGAAAAGCTTGAGCGAAGAAAGCGGAGAAGGGGGAGAGAAGCGCACAGATTGTGCAGTGTGTCTTATTTTCTTTTTTCCCCAAACTGGGTCGCGTGCCTTAGGTCCGCAATTTTTTTTTTTTGTTAAAGATCCAAGAACCAACATTTTTCTGTTAATCTGATGACTCTTCGTCAAGGTTCAAAAAATCAGACCGGATAGGCAAGGTAGTAGTTCAAAAATTAGTGAGTTAGATCAGGATTAGACTGAATTAAACCGATAATTATTAAAATAATATAATTTAATTAAAAGATATAAAACATTCATATTTAAATATAAAAAAATAATTTTTAATTTTATTTAAGATATGCAATAAAAATTCTTTCTTCTTTTGACCTTTTTCCTATCTCCTTCATGTAACCCACCCCTTTTTTTTTTTACCTTTTCTAGTCTCTCTCTTACACTCTAAAGGCTACACAACCTATAGTGCCAAATTTTTCTTCCTCCGGCATCAATTTGTCTTCATTCTTCTTTCTTGTGCATGGAACCATTTCTCTCACAGCTTTTATGGCTTCTCACTTCAAATTTGATCAGCTCTTACTTGAGGAGAATGGCGATGATAGAAGAACTGTCACGGTGTGCGAATGATGGTGACCGTCACTTTTCATCCTTCTTACTTTGGTCTCCTTTATCTTTCAGATCTGTTCTTCCGTCTTCCTCCTCTCCCCCTCTCTTCCTTCCTTATAAGCAACCCAATGTAACCCGCCAAACTAGTGGCTTATCCTGATTTTCTCCGGCTTACTTTGGTTCAAGCCGAGTTATAGCAGGTTGATTTTTTTCGGGTTTAGGAGGTGAATTGGACAGGATAACTGGCTGCTTCCCTGGTTTTCGGTTTGAACTGACCAGTCCGATTTGTTTTTTGAACATTGCTCTTCACGTATGAGATCAACCTCGGGTAAAAAAAGTACACACACATACACACACACACACATATATATATATATAAAAAAGGAAGTTCATAACAACAAATAAATTTAACATTTTACTAACAGTAAATATTTGTTAGAATTAAAATAATTAAATTATCATCAAATATGATGCTCTTAAATATTATTTGGAGAAAAAGATAAGAAAATACCCTTAAATATATAAAATATCACATTAGTGCTATAGAAAATTAAAAGCCCATACAAGAACACAAGTACTGATTTGGCATTTTTAAATGTTGACAAAAAAACAAGTTTGCCCCTAAATATAATTTTAAAAAAGATGAGGAAAACAATGGAGGAAGTGTAACATCTCAAGTTTTGGGCCTAAATATATAAGAAATGGCCTAAGACAGATAAGCTACCAGATCCCTTTTGGCAGGAGTTTTAGAAGTGTTTTAGAAGGATGAGAGGATTCCCAAAGATTAAATCGCAAAATAAGAGTTTTTGGTAACAAAGAAACAAGGAAGATAGAGATTCCAATGAAGTCTTAGAGGCGTAGTATGATAAATGAGAATGAATATAAGTCAAAAGTCATGGTATAAACCTTAAAGGGATGATTCTTAAAGCTAACCCTAGTAGAGACCTAATTGTAATTTTGAAGAGTTTTAGGCCTGGAAAGTATGCCCAAAATTCCAGAAAAATCTCAAAAAATGGGAAACAAGATATAAAAGCCCATTTGAGGTTAAAAATGATTAAAATACCCCCAGAATTAATTTTAAGAAATTTTTTAGTAATTCAACTAATTATGAAAGTTTCGGCTAATTAAGAAAAAATCAGTTAAAATTGATTATTTAAAATATAAGAAGGCATCAAATAATTATGTCATTTGTCAAAGGAAAAACTTCAAAAAAGATTAAAATAATATTTTCTAATCACATGTTAAATATGCAAAGATGCTTGGAAAGAAAAGGAAGTGCCACCTAGGTTAATAATGCAAGGGAGATGATATAATGCAAGACGATGTAAGGAAGATGATGCAAGTCAAGACACTTGCCTAGATAATGAAGAAACAAAGCCTAATCAAGAGCTATATGTCACGGTGAGTAAGCATGGTAACTTGATTTTTAACATGAGGTAAATGTTAAGGCAAGCATTATAAATATCTCTTTCCCTCTCCTATTTGTGTGTTTGGATGGCCAAGAGAGGAAGAGCAAGGGGAGCATGAAAGTTGGGAGAGAAAAAGGAGAATAAGAAGAGCTTCAAGTCTTAGGTAAATTCAAGCTTCAAGATAAGGTAAGATCATGGTTTTTAATACAGTTTACCTTGCTCTATGTCTTGTAAAGCTTGGCTATGGTTTTGATGAGATTTGGAAGCATGAAACCCTAAGATGATATGCTATCCAAGTGTGTTTAAACTATAGGATTGATTGATGTTAGATTAACGATTAAGAGGAAGAAAAGAGTAAGAATCAAGTGGTTTTGTGATAGAACTAGAAAGAATCCAACTTTCCCTTATGCTATGTAGTATTTCGGCCAGACCTAGGGTTCTTGATAGGGTTGGATTTTGATAATTTTGATGCTTCTAATGTGTTTAGAATGAAAAACTGTGTGGGTTAAAAATGAGAAAGCAAGTTTAGAAGCATTAAAATTGAAAATAGAATTTTGAACCCTAAACCTATACATTCGATCAAGTTGAGGTCTATGGAAAGGAGTTGGATTTTGTCTAATTTAAGCTTGGAAATAGATTCTACATGTAAAATTATGAGAGAATAGCATATGGAATTAATTTTAGAAAGAATAGAATCCAAACTCAATTCTATGGCTTTAATAAATAAATGGCAATGATGTGTTAATGTGATTAGGGCCATGTGACATTAAGGAAGATGAATGGGAAAGGTTGATCAAGCAACCTCGAAGGTTGGAAACAAAGGGGGCAAGAGGAAAATTTGAATATAAAAGGCTAAATGCAGCAAACTTTAACCTACTCTTATATGTTTGGTATCTGCTTGCATGTATGACATGTTTGTATGTTTATGTGATTTAAAAAACTCATGCATTATGAACATGCATATGTTTAAACTATGTCATAGGCCTATGTCTTTCATGATAAATGTATGATAGTTTCCAAACATATTATGTTATAAAGATGTGAAGTTACAAGTATATTATGAATGCCAATCTTACCATGTATGTTTGGATAGTTATTCTCCCAAATCTCACCCTCCCTTAACTAACCATAACAACTTTCGTAAGCAAGAAAGAGGATTGGAAAGGTATAGAATCAAGAAAAAGAGGAGAATTTAAGAGATGTTACGTTATGTTGTATTATGTTATGTAATTCCTTATGATGATGTATATAATAAATATGCCCTTAATATTATGTAACGAGGAATAATGATGTTGTTATGTATGAATGAATATGGTAATGCTTGGAAAAGATCAATGGTATGTTGGGATGATAGCATGCGAGATAAAGAAAGTTTATAGCATGTTAATGCAAGTAAAGGGATAAACTTTCCTATTATGAGGAATGAAATTGTGATAAAGTAAGAGTAAAGTAAACGAATAAATCTGCCCATGAAATTTGGTAAGATGTTAGTACACATCCTAAGCTTTAAAATAAGTTGTAGACCACCTAAAATGGATGTGCGTGTGCTAAGAGATATGATCACTTAAAGTTAGGACAAAGAATATGGAAATATACTGTTTGACTAAATGAACAATGCAACTTCATATGTAATTCTAGGATTAATGAATAAAGAGATGAAACCATGAGTATTTTTTCTCGGTAGAGAATTGAAAGAGTTTTAGATGGAGACTTGAATTAGCTCGATATGATTTTTCTTTAATTAGTTATAAACTTTCAAATTTGGACAAAAAATTTGAAATTTACTAATGAGTAGTAACCTGAGAAATTAAATGCAAATTTTCAATATACGTACTTATTTCATAATCCGCTTGAATTGTAACGCTTTCAAACATATACTAAGAGGGTAAATGGAAGGATGTTTTAGGAACTATCGTCACTGTGAGAAGAACCATTGTCACTATGAGAAGAAGCACTGTTGTTATGAGAGGAGTGCCATTGTCGTGAGAGTGGCGCCCATTGTGAGAGGTTCATTAGTGTAATGTTGCCATCACTGGGTCTGGTAAGTTACTTATTTGTTCCATTTTTGCAAGGTGGTTCTCATGGGTTGATTGATTAGAGCAGACAATTATGAGGGAATATTAGGGCTTTAAGGGAGTAATAAAGTGATTTCCTTAAACCCTATATGATTTTAAGCTACGTAGCAAGGATGATTCTCGCTGATATGTCTCATCCATTCTATTGATTCTTTTTTTTCCTTTCAATAGAATGTCATAAACATTAATATCATGTTAGGTTTGCAACTTGTTTTTTCTCACCTTTTGCTATAAGACATTAACTTTAGACCATACATGGAGCCACTTTGCATAGCATTAAGCTTGGGAAACCAGATTTTGGAAAATCACTTTTTTGGGTTACTATTTATTTAGTAACCCTAAAAATGTTACTAATTTTAAAAATTCATAATTAATTCTAGAAAAATCAAATGAAGTTATTCTAAGTTTTATTTAAAGCTCATTCATTCCTCTATGGAGGAAAAATACTCATTTGCAAGTTACTGAATCTATTCGGGCTCCAAAAAATTACTATTCATCGGTTAGTTTTTATTTTTCCAGCTTTTTACCTTAACTTACAAAATTCATATCCTTTTGTGTAAAACTCCAATTTAGGTGTTATACCACTTCATTTGAAGCTTAAAATATGATCTCTATGTTCACCAAATTTCATGATCAGATTCCATCATTTGGTCATAAAAGTTGCGGCCTCAAAATTGGGGTTTTATAAGCAATTGTATCTTATTTAATTGCCCTAATTTGTGAAATTTGATTCCTGTCTTCCATTTTTCCAAAAAGCATTCATATCATCATAGATAATATATCATAATACCTCCCAAGAAGTGAGTGCAAGCATCCAGCATAATATGCATACATTACATAATTCATTTAACTCATTATACAAAACATAAAGAATTGCACATTTTATTCAAGCTTCTTTTTTTTTTTTTTGGCCTGATTTATTCAAGCTTTCATGTTCTTTCTTTTCTCCCTGGATGAGCTATCTCCTAGGAGGGTCAATT